GTCCTAGAGAACCCCATCTTTCTCCCTTGGAGTTGCTGGTGGTTTCAAACTTCTGACTTTTCGGATAGCAGTCAAACATGTAACCACTATACCAACGGGGCTCCTTAGTCCTCAAAATTACATCTTTGCTTTTTAAAACTTTAAAGAGGTCCGTGGCAGCAGATTTCCCCAATACAGCAGATCATTCGATTTCTTGGCTGCAGTTTCCATGGATATTGATTATTGATTCGGGTCAAATGAAGTCACCGCTCGTGCTGTTGTTTATGAGGACAGCTGTCCGTTCTCCAGCTAGAAGAACCAGAGCTTGTTTACCCCGGGCTTTGCTTGAGGGGCTTGCTTAGCTCCAGTTGTGTGATATCAGCAGGATAAAGTCTGAAGTTGGTCTCCAGCCTGTAGCGTGGATACTCCTTTTCCTCTTTCCTGGAGAAAGAGCTGGTAGTTGTTTAAATGCAAGCAAAGCTGGGCACTGGAATTTATCCTTCAGGAGCAGCAGAGTGCCAAATCTAGAAGTATTGCACCCTTTTAGTGAGTGGCCACTCTAAATCCTTCCAATTAGCAGCTGTCCTTCTCTTTCCATGTCAGATTTTGTCAGGGTTCTAAAATTTAAATATTCTGACCTTGGTTATTTATCACAAATCTCATCATCTTGGTGAAAAACTCCCAGTTCGTCAAAAGTCCAACAGAGGGAAAAATTTTTTTAATGCCATGAAATACGTCTTTTTCTTTGAAACAACTATTGGAAGGGAAGAAATACTCTCATTTGAATGGGCGTGCTTATAAGTTGCTTGGAGGTAGCTTCATAAAAATCTTCATGTGAACTTGTACCTCTCTCATTTAAAAGAAAAGATGAAAGAAGGGAATTAGTCCATTAATTATTTAAAATACTTGGTGCAACTGTTCCCGTGAATTAATCCAGGCACTTGGAAGACAATTACACTCAGTCTTAATAACCTTGCCAACCTTTTCCCACTACGCTGCTCTCCAAATACTTTTGTGTTTTCATTGACAACATTCCCTGTTACATATGCATATGAAAACAGGCATTTTCATCAGAATCGCTCTAATAGCATTAAGAGATTATTATTATTTTTTGCAATTTCCTTGGAAGAAAATTCACTTAAATTAGATTATTTATTACTTGACTGCTCTCCAATCTTGCCTGTGCGTTTAGGTAACTGGAGTCCATGAAAGTATAGACTTCAAAATAAAAAGCATGATTTTATACATTGCTGATTTCAAACAACAGAGGAGCGCTACACTGGTGCGTGACTTCTTTTGAGAAAGTTAAATCTGTATTCTGCTCAGAAGAGATAACACTTTTGGTACTCCGAGGTGGCCCCCTGGTGTAGCCATTAGTTGCTAATTACTTGCAAACAAATAAACAATTAACTCCTCAAGCCGCTGGGCTGGAGAGTGTTCATTGACATGCTAAAACTTTCTAAGACAGGATTTTAATTAGTGACGTGCTAAAGCCAGCCCCCTTGTCTGCTGAAGCTATAAGGTGAACCACAGAAGGTCCAGCCCTGTTCACGTGGGGCAGAGGCGCCAACGGAGGGGAGCCGCTCCAGGCGACGCGCTGTGCAGCCCGAGCAAGGATGTCTCCCAGCCTTCAGGAAGGCTCTGCTCTTGGAGGAAGCAAGCCCTCACCGCGCTCCTTTTCAATCGAGAGCATCCTCGGACTGGACCGCAAGAAAGACAGTGTCCCATCGGTGAAACCTCACCGGCCCTGGGCAGACACCTGCAGCTCCTCAGGTATGCCACACTCTAATGTTGTTGTTATTGTCTTTCCCATTGCCCTGTCTGATCGGTCGGGTGAGAGAGCAACTGCAGTTTCATAGTCCAATGGATGAGTTCTATGGGAAATAAAAAGGAATGTAAGCCTCAGATCCAAGTAGGTATACAGTTCACTCGTGAAAGAGAAAGAAAGTAAAAGCCAGGAACCTGCCGTTTACTTCAGAAGATCTCACCGTGACTATTTGGTACAGCAGGTCTTCCAAATCTGCCTTGACAGAGTGGCATTCCAAGACCAAAATGCAAGTATCTTTATTTTATTTATTTATGTTTGTGCTGGCTTTGTTTTTGCTGCTTGTTTGGTGTAGATGATAAATCCCTGAAGAACTTCATTGGGAAAATTAACAAGTTCCTGAAGTTACTTACTTCCCTGTTGGAGTGTGGATTTAAACCTCTAAAGGAGGTGTATTTTCTGTTTTCAGGGAAAGATGCTAACCTATGTCTACAGGTCAGGAGCCTGCCCAGTGGTATCTCATGCCCTGGTACTGTGGATTACTCCATGCCACGAGAAAGAATTCTGAAATATGAAAACTACTTCTCACCCACAGAAAGATTGTCTTTGAAAAGAGAATTGAGTTGGTATCGAGGCCGAAGACCAAGAACTGCTTTTACTCAAAACCAGGTAGGGTGTTTTTCAAACATGAAAGGTTTTAAGTAACAACACTCAGTTGTTACTTACTCCCCCTCCCCCCATTTATTTTGCTGAATCTTAATTTAGAAGCCTTAATGAAATGACAGACTCTCATATTTTTAACAGTAGCAAGAAAGGAAAAAAACCCAGATTAATCACCAAGGATTTTAAAGCAAACATCTTGTTATACTGATTAAAGTGCATTATATGGTGACATAGCAGATATCAACACCTTAAAGAATTGTTTCCTTATTCTTAGATTGAAGTGTTGGAAAATGTTTTTAGAGTAAACTGCTATCCTGGCATTGATATCAGAGAAGACTTAGCACGAAAGTTGAACCTAGAAGAAGACAGGATCCAGGTAATTTTAAATTTTAATTATTAGCTTAATGGTTGAAAGGTAAATAATAATAAAATACTTATAAGACCTATCTTATTTTCCTTAATTTTAGATCTGGTTCCAAAATCGGCGCGCAAAGCTGAAAAGGTCCCATCGAGAATCACAGTTTTTAATGGCAAAAAAAAATTTCAACACAAATCTCCTGGAGTAGATAGGAAACTAAACATGTGAAATTATCTGCCAGTTGCCCAACATGGAGAATCAATGGAAATATGAAGTATTAAAAAATGTGATGTTTTCTTCATTTAATTTGAATATTATCATTAAAAATATATTGTAAATAATTACTGTTACACATGGTACATTTTATATTTGGGCACTTTTAGTTAAGATAAAGGCTTTCTCAGTTTATTTTAATAAACATTTTTGGAAAAAGTCATCTATTTTTTAAATGAGCTAATTTAATCTAATAAACTTGTTTGCTAAAATCAGTAAACTCATGACTAAATTACTTCACAAGTTGGAAGACTAGCAGAAAGGTATGATTTGTTTCTAATATTTTTCTTTCAAGAACATTTTGAAACATGTTCATTCGTAAGTGTATTAGAGAATATGATTTATTCATGAGTCTTAGGTTTCTCTTTGATTTCTGGCATAAAGCCATGAGAATTTCTTACCACATATCAAAACAGAGCCTATGCCAGTTTCTACTTTATTTTTTTTTTAAAAAGAGCAAAGCCAGTAAGTCAAAATACAGATATAAAAACATCAACTGCTATGTTCATGCTATTGGGATGACATTGCATAAAAGAATTAAGATGTGAATAAATGCAAATTTTAAATATGTTTCTAGGACATTTAGTGCTATACTTTACTTTCATTCATCAAAGTGGTCCTGATCATCTGGCTTGCATCTATTTTCAGTTGAATGATTTCCAATCAACTGTGTATTTTGTTCACAGTATCACCTTGACGAAAAAGGTAGGATAACTGACCTGCCTTTTGTTTGTGCTCTGATGTTGCTCCTGGAAATATCAGGGCACTTTCTGTGAATCAAAAACTATGCGTTGACTTGGCATTTGCCATTTCTCACTGCATCTGCCAGTTAGATATGGCAGTAGGACAAGCTGCCTGACAAGGTGGCCTCCGCTCCACTTGAAGCCTGAGCATCCGGGGTCTAGTTGATAAAAGGCCTAAGGGAAAGTCCTTTCGCAGTGTGGGCTTGAGAACTCGGATTTTATCTCAAAACAACAAGAAAACTCAGGCCATCGGGTTGATTCCGGCTCATAATGACCCTGCAGGATAAAGTAGAACTGCTCCTGTGGCTTTTCCAAAACTATAACTCTTTCTGGGAGTAGGAAGCCTTGTCCTGTGGAGTAGTTGGTGGTTTTGAACTACTATCTTTGCAGTTAGCAACCCAACATGTAACCCCTGCACTACGATGGATTTTTGATTTTGCATATGGGCAGCCATTTTTCAACTCTTCTTTAGAATGCATTGTACCTGGCTTTCCTTTCCTTTCTTTTCTGTCTTTTACCTTTCTCTCTCTCCTGTTGATAACTAGAGTAGAAGACTCTTGCTTAGTTATTGAGTCTATACACTATTTGGGGGTGAGGGAGTAGGGGGAGGATTTTTATCTTTTAAGCCAGAGAAGGATTGGAACAGCATCATGACTCCAGTTTTAGAGTTTTAAAAAGCATTTAATGCATGTACATTTAGGGTAGAGAACTGTGTCCCAACAACTGGCCAGCCTTAAGCTACTCTTACTTTGTTCCACTTGTTGAGAGCTAGGAGCATGGGGGCATAGGGATTACATGTTGGCGTGCTAACTGCACGGTCAGAGGTTTGAGTCTACCAGCTGTTTCGAGGGAGAAAGATGAGACAGTCGGCTTCCAAAAGCAGTACATATTTGGAAGCCTACAGGCAGTTTCACTCTGTCCTATGGGGTCACCATGAGGCAGAATCGACTACTTGATGACATGGGTTTGATTGGTTTTTGCTATTGTTGGGGTGGAGGAAGGGAGCTCTGGCTGCAGAGGTTATGTGTTGGGCTTGCTAACCACAAGGTCCAGAATTCGAAACCATCAGCCATTCCACAAAAGGAAAACGGCTTTCCATTCCCATAAGGAGTTACAACCTGGGAAACTCACAGGGACAATTTCTGCCCTGTCCTAGAGGGTCACTATGAGTCGGCATCGACTCGATGGCATTGAGTTTGGTTTTGGTTTGGGGTAGAGGCGGCAGATAATGAAAAAACATGGCAAGAAGGGCAGTAACAGGCGGAACAGAGACATGAAGTGTTTTCTATGAAAATCTCTGCTGTCAGACTGGGTCACTCTTTCTGATCTAAAACGCTGTTGCTCCCAATAAAAAATTTGAAGCACTGCTTGTTCAGTAAATTCTTCCAGATCTGTCCATCAGGAGACCTCATAGCGCTCCAATGTGCTCCTCTGAAACTAGAAGTCACCAGTGAGAGACTCCAGGGGGCTAGAAGGGGAAAGCCACGTGGTTTTCAAATAGCCTTTTATTTTGTTTATGTAAAGTGATATTTACACACTGCAAACAATGCAAGAACTCAAGCAGACCAGAAGTCCAGTAAAGCCTCCCTCAACTCTCATCCTTCAGAGATAATCGCCATAACCACTTGTTTCTTAGCCCTTTTTGTATATTTGTAAAAACATGTAGAAGAACCCTGGTGACAGTGGCTCAGCCCTCAGCCACTGACCTAAAGCGTGCCCACTAGAACCCACCAGTGGGTTCAAAGAGAGGACAAAGCAGGACAAAGAGAGGAATGCACACCGGTTTTTGCTAGTTTTGCTGTTGTTATTTTCAGAAGTATGATCCCACCCAGCAGTCTGCCTTACATCCACCAATGCCTTGCCATGCCAGGCATGGAGCTCTGTCTCCTTAATATTGCGGAGTTTAGGAAAAGGTTTCAAGCTTTGTGAATAATAACTAGAACATAGTATGAATATATTTAAGCATCTTTAGAGTAGCACTTTTCACAAATGGAGATTTATAAAGAATCATTATACTTTATGTAGAATCTATCCAGAATTAAATAACCTAGCTCCCAAATCTCTGAAAGGTGTGAGAAGAAGCTGTATAAAATGATAGCATCAAGGGGAGAAGTAACAACACTATAAATATTGGTCAATGACAGAGTGCACGTCTATTTTTGTATTAAGAACATCACATCTATTAAAAATGTTTGTTGAGGAAAGAAATACAGTGTTCTAGAGAGTAACATTACCTTGATATTTTCTGGTGGTCATTTTATGTAATGAATGTATGAAGTTCTAAAATTTTAATTTTGTTTATCATGTAAATCAATTGCATTTATAACTGAGGCTATAGAGATATAAGTGAAATTATTTATAGTAGAAGGAATAGATTTAAAACCAGCAACATTTTGAACTAAAAAGTTAAAATGGTATTTGAATTTCTAATATATATTATCCGAGACATAACTATGGATACATACCCTTTTTTTACTTTCTAATACTAATATCAATTGTTGATTCAACTATAACTGTGAAGCAAGTTCATAATGGATAATATACAAGAAGCAAGGTAATAAACAAGATCACTAGTATTTTTCCTTAAAGCCATTTTTTAAATCTAAAAGGTAAAGATTAAATTTGTTAAAAGAAATAATGGTTTTCGAACCTTTTTGGTATTATGATTGCTAGCAATTTGGAGCTAATGTAATGCTATTCAGGCAGGGGATGGTGGTGCAGGGAGGTGGAACTGGACTTTGAGGAAAAATCAAGCAAGATGGAACTGGAAATGAAAATCCAAGATCGAATTCTTTCCCTCAAAACACACAGGCTCTAATCCACAGCTTATCTCTCTCTGCTCCTGGTAATTCGAGTCCTTTGTCTCCATTAATGCCCAAGACAAGGTGCACAGTAGTAACAAATCAAACTAATGCAGTCAGGCTAATACCTGGAGCGTCTCTATTATCTGACAATTGCCTAAATAAGGTTATTTGGTCTGCTGTAATGGCATTTGTCTCTTGTTAGGCTAGCCAGACAAAGCCGTCACTGAAGAGGGTTGGTGGGAACAATGGCTGTGTGTGTTGGTGGTCAGCTTTTGAGTTAATCAGTGTTAATAGCCGAGTGCACCCCTTGCATCTTACACACATCATACAAATGGCATACATATCCCATTACCACACTGACGTGCAGAGTCAGCCTGCACTTCATGCCCACCTCGATCTAAAGGTAGAGATAGCTGGGTGCTAGTCCCTTTACCTGATGTGGAACCCAAACCACAGTATGACAGTGGTTTGCTATCCCCATTTAACTGAGCCCCAGAAAAATAAAGCCCTGCATTGATCAAATCTCCAAGTGTCTGAGGTTAGATATAATGCCCATTTGGATGGTTTTACCCCCTGCTGGGGGACTCCCCATTGCAACTGAGGCAGCTCAACCCTTTCCATTGTCTTCTTTCGTGTTTCATTTTTTATTTTTTTAATGAGTTTATTGGGAGCTCTTACAGCTCTTATCACAATCCATTCATATATCCATTGTGTCATGCGCATTTGTACATATGTTGCCATCATCATTTTCAAAACACTTTCTTACTACTTGAACCTTTGGTATCAACTCCTCATTGTTTTTCCTCTTTCCCCTACCTTCCCTCCTTCATGAACCCTTGATAATTTATAAATTATTTGGTTTCTTTTTTATGTCTTACACCAACCACTGTCTCCCTTCACCCACGTTTCTGTTGTCCATCCCCCTGGGAGGGGGTTATGTATCAATTATTGTGATCAGTTCCCCCTTACTCCACTCCCCACCATTCCCTTACCCTCCTGGTATCACTGTTTTCATTATTGGTCCATAGGGGTTTATCTGCCCTGGATTTCCCTGTGTTGCAAGCTCTAATCTGTACCAATGTACATGTTCTAATCCAGCCGGATTTGTAAGGTAGATTTGGTGTCATGATGGTCAGGGTGAAAGCATTAAAGAACTAGAGGAATGTTGTGTATTTCTTTGGTCCTATATTGCACCCTGACTGGCTCATCTCTTCCTTGCAACCCTTCTGAGAGGGGATGTCCAATTGACTATAGATGGGCTTTGGGGCTCCACTCTGCCATCCCCCTCATTCACATCAATAGGTTTCTTTGTTTTGTTTTGGGTTTTTAATGCCTGCTACCTTATCCCATCAACACCTCATGATCACAACAGGCTGGTGTGCTTCTTCCATGTGGGCCACTTGTTTATCTTCAAGCCTTTAAAACCCCAGATGTTGTATCTTTTGATAACTGGGCACCATCAGCTTTCTTCACCACACCCTTTTCCTTCTTCCCAGCTAGTGTCTTGGTAAGACTGTTGATGTCAACAAGCATTGTTGAGTCCCAAAAATGAATCTCCAAAGTAAAAAATGTATTCCTTACCTTCAGTCAAGTAGAAAGTCTCCAATGTTTAGGAAATCCGCATCTGTTCTATCCTCTCCGCCTCCTACAATCGCCTTGTGTCATTACATCTTAAGATAGAGTAATACATGACACCACATTTT